TTTTTTTTTTTTTTGCGGTTTTTTGCTGGGGCCTGGTTTGAACCTACTACATCTAGCATATGGGGCCAGTGCCCTACTCCTTTGAGCCACAGGTGCTGTCCCCCCATTCTGGTATTTCAAATTTGTATTTCCTCTTACTAAAGACAGGTCTAGGGCCAGGTTCTTGAACTCATAGCCATAATTTCAGAAGACACAGATCTATGCTCAGCATCCATAGCACAGTGGTTACAGTGCCAGCCACATACACTGAAGTTGGTGGGTTCAAACCTGGCAGGGTCAGCTAACCAACAATGACAGCTGCAACCAAATTTCAGCATCCTCACCCATCTAAGAAAACATTAGAGTAAAAATGCCACCTTAGAAATGGCTGGAAATATCTGTAAATTAGATGTGTGATAGGAGTTAATACTCAGAATATATATGTGTAATTTTAAATGCTTTTGGAGTTACACAACTCCAAAACCATAACAGCTAAACCCAAATATCTTTATTTAAAAATTGACAAAAAAGTGCACTGACACTTTTCAAAGAAGATATATAAATGGCCAATGGTCATTTGAAGCAGTGCTTAAAGTACTAATTATGGAGAAATGCCAACAAAAATCACAATGAACACATTATATCATACTCATAATGAACAATAAAAGTATTTGTTAAGGATGTAGAGAAATAGGAACTTTTTGGAATGTTGATGAGGAAAAACATTGCAGACACTATTAAAATGTATGAAAGCTATCATGATGCCTTGGCACTCTATCCAGAGTGACACAGTGAGATTCTATGTCAAAAAAACAAACAAACAAAAAACCCCCAAAAAAACAAAACAAAGAAGAGAAAAAGATAGAAAAGAGAGAACATGTTCATAATTATAATGAGTTAACAAGGTATCTCAACAGTAGGAGACAAAGAGGAAGTGATCATAACTCTACATCTTTTGAGAGGGGAAAAACACAGTTATTAATACATAGCCATGTGTGGCTCAGAGCCTGTAGCTCAGCTACTAGTGCGCCAGCCACATTCACCAGAGCTGGGGGGGGGGTTCCAACCCAGCCCAGGCTTGCCAAACAGCAATGACAAGTACAACCAAAAAATAGCCAGGCGTTGTGGCAGGTGCCTGTAGTCCCAGCTACTTCAGAGGGTGAGGCAAGAAAATCTCTTAAGCCCAAGAGTTCGAGGTTGCTGTGAGCTGTGAAGCCATGGGTGACATAGTGAGACTCTGTCTCAAAAAAAGACAAAAAACAAACAACAAAAAACATTGTTATGTGTAGACCAGCTTACCCAAAGTGACCAATGTACACAGTTTCATTCCCACAGTTCCAGGAATTTGGTGTAGCAGGATTGGCCACCATCATCTGAAGGCTTGGTGCCTTGTCAAAATCGTTATTAAACATTGTTTGCACATTCTCCTGTAAATAAAATGAAACGTCATTTCTCCTTTAAATGAAATGTCACCTTTTCCCCAATATTATGTTTCCTTCCTGTCCTCTATTATAGATATTGTCTTCTCTTTTTCATCAAGCTAAGAGTTATTTGTTAGGTGGTTAAGAGTACATTGGCCATCAATTCTTTAAAACACATAACCAAAAAAGTAATTCAAGAATATCTTTTTATTCATCAAATACCAAAACAATAGTATTTTGGATACATTGGATTAAATAAATAATTACATAGGTTGGCGGCTGTAGCTCAGTGGTTAGGGCACCAGCCACATACACCCGGGCTGGAGATTCCAACCTGGCTGGGGCCTGCTAAACAACAATGACAACAACAACAAAAAATTAGCAGCATTTTGGCAGGTGCCTATAGTCCCAGCTACTAGGGAGGCTGAGGCAAGAGACTTGCTTAAGCCCAAGGGTCTGAGGTTGTTGTGAGCGGTGACGCCACAGCATTCTACCCAGGGCGACATAGTAAGATGCTGCCCCCCCCCCAAAAAAAAATTACAATTAATTTTACCTACTTTTTTTCTTTTTTGTGGCTACCTTAAAATGTGAAATGACACAGGTGGTTCACATTTTGTTTCTATTGGACATTGCTTTCTTAAAAGACTGCATCCCTTTTCAAAGCTTAAGCTGCCTTCGGAAAAGACAAGATTACAAGAAAATTTAAAAGAAAAAACAACTTTTAAAATAATTGTTAATAAGTTGTTTCCATTTGTAAAAAATGTATTTGCAGTGTGTGTATGTGCGCGTATGAGAGTACACATATGTATGTATATGTATGTCTATATAAATAAAATGTATAGAAAGGATATAATTTACATTCCAGGTTAAATACAAATGTTGCCCAGGGAGTACCGAGTCCCAGAGCAGGTATAAAGCCCAGTCTGTGCAGAGCTCCATCCTAGAATGTTAGCTTTCCGGCCTCATTCAGCCTATTGTATGGTCGTATTCCCTGTCAATCAGGACCAGAGGGGTGGGGCCGGAGGCCCTATCCAATCAGGGATGCTCCAGTGGAAACTGTCCAACCAAAATGCACAGCCAGGAAGAAGGCGGCAGCTTCCGGAACCGGCATGGCTTTGGTCTCTTGTGCTGGGCTCTGACCAGAGTTCCCTCTTCACTGTTGGAAGTTCAGGAGGACCTAGGTGTCTCTGCTGCAACCTCTGCCGTCCTGTGACTTGCAGGTACTGGGACATTTGTAGAGAGGACACCGGGACATCCTGGAAGCTGAGAAATGGTGCGTATATGGGATCGGGTGTAATGGGGGAGGGGGGGCTCTGGTTGGAGAGGGAAGTGGTTGTGGCAGGACCGCACTATTTCTCTTTAGTTGGAGACTCTAAAGACCAGAGTTTGTCACTGGCACCCCTTTGTGCTCACACTACCCTGGGCAAAGGTTGGGTTTCGGTAGGCTCTTCTTTATTGTAAGAAAATATTTCTTTGTAAAAACACCAAGTATAATATCTGCAAGCATCACAAACTTTTCTTTTCCTTCGTAGGGAGGAGCAAACAAGTTTTGAAAAAAAAGTGGGAGATGAGGGCAGAATGAAGGGTGGAAAAATAATCTGCTATACTAGAAAATGTTTCACCCTGAAGTCAGCCTGTTCTTAGGAGGGGCATAAAGAGGGGTAACATGTTGAAGTCAGAATTGGCCAAAGTTCAGGATCCCGGGAGAAAGAAACTTTAGAAATATTTGATGAAGAAGCATTTTGTTGTGACTCCTGAAGAAAGAACCGTTCAGCTGATTGTTTATGAACAATAAATGGGAATTTGCAGAGCCTGTGCCTGCCCTTGTCATAGGAGAAACAGGAAGTATCACCTAAATCACCATGGGAAGGGTTGTTTCTTGCAGTGTGTTGCTCTAGAGAACACAGGGTGGGGAATTTCTTTAACCACATCTGCCTACCAGGATGAGTTACATGCCCTTTCATTTCGCACCACTTTCCCTTGCCCTATACATGACGTTGGTCTACTTTATATGACATTGCTGAATGTAAGTAATGTGGTTTGCTGAGTTGTATGAGTAGCTGTATTAAATGATTATACTTGTGGAGGGATTTATTTGAGCTCCTGCTTTATAGGCAGTTACTCAAAATCATAGAAGGGTCTGTGGGGCTTGCCCCTGGCACCTGCAGTGAGAGCAGTGTGGAGCCTTGAACGTGTGGGATCTATGTTAACTCTGGGTGGTATCAAAATTAAATTTTGCAGGTGGAGTTTGTATTGGAATATTGGTGGAATATTGTTCTGTAAACTGCATGTATTTCTTATGAGAAGTGTCAAAGAAAAACATTGTAGAGGCCTGGGCTAGAGGGAGATTCTAACTGTCCCAGAAAGGAAGGATGTGTTCTCCTGCACATATGCTGTCACAGCACAAACTGTGCAACTGTGCAGTGATTCCACATCACCTCCTGGGTTGAGAGGGGACAGTGGTGTTGGAGGACAAAAGCTCTGAGGTCAGATTTCTTCTCCACATTCTGCTGCCACCATGTGATACCCAGCATTTTAAGCAAATGTACACTAGACAGTGATGTAGTCACAGCCCATCCAGGCAATGCTCCACCATCTGGAATCAAGCTCACAGCTCCTTTACTCTTAATAGTGTCCCACCCAAACCCCACACCAGTGCCCAGAAGACTTCTGGTTTCTCCCCACCCCAAGATCCTGTATGTGTAGCAACAACCCGGCCATTCATTACCCAGGCTTTTGTTTCACCCAATGATAATCTCATCTATCTCCATGGAACAGAAATAAGCGTGAGCATATCCCAGCCTGGGCTATTATGTCTAGCACTGGCGCTCCAAACCAAGTGACTGAACCAAAGATATATATAAATCAGTGGAAGTTTATTAAGACAAAGTTTGTAGACATTTTTGGGGCGGGGGGAGAACCCACAAATCACATACGTATCTTTGATTGTTCAGAAGGGATATTTGGGAACTTTGGTACTTAAACATGACAAGACATACGGAAGGAAAAAGTACTAGGGCCATGGGAACTGAATGGTTACCTTCTTTGGAAGCTTAGGAAATTTACAGTTTGCATGGGATTGTGTGAATGTCTGAACAAAAAAAGAGAGTGAAGGAAGAATCGATTAAGTAGATGTCCATGGGTATGTAGAAGAGGAATTGATCTTGTCTTTCTTCTATACCTGGGAAAATAAAGTTATGGTAAACATTATTAGTATGTAATGAAGCAGATTTTAGTTTTAGGAGCTAGACTTAGCCTGCAGACACAGAGATAGATTTTTGTGTTTTTGCTTATGGGACCCCAGCAAGGATTGCCTTTATGAATGATCTTTGATTGACAGTGCTTTCAGAATCCTCAGAACTTTTACCTTTCCATGAGGGTCTGCATGATAGGTATTGTTAGTATCAACTGTTCATTTGGAAGTGGGTCTTTAACTTAGCCTCTGGGTTTCACCTTTGCTTTTGCATAAGGAGTTGTTTCTTAGATTCTTAGTTTCTTTTACAGTATCACCCAATATTTCCACAAGCTCTATAGTTTGTCCACCCGTGGGTCCATGTTACCACCTGTCTTCTGATTATTTCCTTCACCATAAACCCTCTTTTGGGTACACAATGTGGCTTAGGTTACTTCTCTGGTAACTTAACTCTTGCCTCCTGGAATTATGCCATGATTTCAAGAAAGTGGCCCTACACCTGTCTGTTGCAAGAGTAAATATAAAAGAGAAATACAGACTGAATACTCCAAGTTGAATATGAAGAGAAAGATTTTACTCTCTTCCTTTTGCTTAAAGATTTTAATTTAGAATATTTTGTGTGTAAATGTTTTCTCTGCCTCTTTGAAATATATGTAAATAATTTTACGAGATAAATAGATTTTTGTCTCTTTTTAAATTCAGGACTACGTTTCTCTAGGACCCAGGTATTATGATTTTGAATTATAAATAGTTGAAAAGATAACAACCTTTGCCAAAGTTTCTGATGTGGTGTAGGACCTGCCTTTAAAAGGCACCTGGTTCTAAATCTTCCATCATGTAGACATAAACTTTCTTTCTTCTTCTGAATATCATCAACTTGCAAACACAAATGTGCTTTCTAGTTACAAAGTGAATTTAGGGTGAGCTATATATGAGAAATGGTGCTGTCAGGGCTTGGCACCCATAGCTCAGTGAGTAGGGCTACGCTGAGGCTGGCAGGTTTGAGTCTGGCCCCAACCTGCTAAACAACTATGACAACAGCAACAATAACAAAATAGCTGGATGTTGTGGTGGGCACCTGTAGTCCCAGCTACTTGGGAGGCTGAGGCAAGAGAATCAGTCACTTCAGCCCATGAGTTTGAGGTTGCTGTGAGCTGTGATGCCCTGGCACTGTACCGAGGGTGACATATTGAGACT